TATATATATATATATATATATATATATATATATATATATATATATATATATATATATATATATATATATATATATATATATATATATATATATATATATATATATATATATTTATAAAACTCTGGTCATTTATTTGTCTCGCCCGGGTATCGAACCCCGGTCTTCAGACTACGTATTTCGAACGGTGTCCGCTCGGCCACGAGGCCCCTGTAGGAAAGTGCGTGCGTGTGTGACCACGCTGTTCACCTCACTGTATAACGTATACACATTTCATTTCCAACATTACCTCTCTCTCAGTATCTATCTTAGCAGCCAACATTAACATCGGGGAACACACCGCGCTTCCTTTGAGTAAATCATCGAACATTCTATATATATATATATCCAAACAAAAAACGTAAGCAAAATATGTATTCTGTCCTCACGTAAAACAAATTCGCCATTTTCACACGTTCCATCAGTCCTGTTAAAAGGCTATATTCATATATTTTTTTACCCTCTGTTGCTGCTTCTTGGTGCTCGTCTTATCACTTCTTTCACGCACGGTTTCTCACTCACTTTTTTCATCGTTCGATTTGCTATGAAGAAAAGAAGTTATTATACATTACAAAGACTTTTTTTTTTGTCCCTCGCTCGTAACGCTATCAAGTGGATCACTGTGTAATCTCGCCTCTATATGTCGTCTACTCCACTTATGTGATTCTCTGTCCAGTGTTACAGCGAATACAAGCAGCAGAATCAACAAGCGTCCGCATCATCAGATTATTCAGATGCTGCAAAGTTGTAAATATATTTGCACAAATAGGATGTAATGATATTGTTTCACGTTCCACTGTATTCGCCTCGGTTAGGGTAAGGATACCTGTCTTCAGCACCTCTCTCGAGCATTTACCGCATCCCTATTTACATAAAATTGTAGATTCTTATGTATTCCCAGACTCTTACCTACTGTGTGTGTGTGTGTGTGTGTGTGTGTGTGTGTGTGTGTGTGTGTGTGTGTGTGTGTGTGTGTGTGTGTGTGTGTGTGTGTCTGCCCTCCATCTGAGGAGCTGGAGGAACTCGACAACTTGTGATAATCATCTTTGTACGCAATATGTAACTCTTTTTTGTAACAAAATTTAAATAAAACAAACATATATGTGTATATACAAAAGAATGGGGGGTGGTAGGAGAAGAAAATATTAGTGTTCAGTGAGAATGCACAAGGTCTTCTCTGAATACTCTTTATTTTCTTCTCCGAGGCTATGGGTCCCCACATTTCCACTAGAGGTGGTACGCTCTATATATATATATATACATAATATATATATATATATATATATATATATAATATATATATATACGACATATATATATATATATATATATATATATATATATATGCCTATCTCAGGGAGATAGGCGTACACACTCACAGACACATGCCATATGTACTAAAACATATATATACTGCAACGGACACAGGCACTCTATACTTACGTAAGTATACTTATATGTATACTTACGGAGACTTTCACACATATCCAGTACAAGCTGTAAGTAGAAAAATTCTTTAAACCATGTACAGGTAAATCACAAGTAAAGCATGTACACACGCTCCCTCACACGCCCATACACATCCAAGTACTCTCAAATATCACAAGAGAATGTATAACTGGTTATTAAATTCCACTGAAGAAATTATAAGAAAACTATTATTTCTTGTATTTTCAAAAAAGATTATATACATTTGTCTTAAGATTTTTCAGCTAATATGAAAGTTGAGCGTTTACAAAAACACACAAACCGATAAGTAAGGAAGCTGATTGTATATTCACGTATTCATTCTAAACATTACCATCGAGCTACGTTCATACACACGTCAGTATATACAATTACTCAACTTTAATGTGGGTGGTCATTGGACGGGTATAGCAATTGCCACACATTACAGGACCCGTGGACGGGTATAGCAGTTGTCACACATTACAGGATCAGTGGACGGGTATAGCAGTTGTCACACATTACAGGATCAGTGGACGGGTATAGCAGTTGTCACACATTACAGGATCAGTGGACGGGTATAGCAGTTGTCACACATTATAGGACCAGTGGACGGGTATAGCAGTTGTCACACATTATAGGACCAGTGGACGGGTATAGCAGTTGTCACACATTATAGGACCAGTGGACGGGTATAGCAGTTGTCACACATTATAGGACCAGTGGACGGGTATAGCAGTTGTCACACATTACAGGATCAGTGGACGGGTATAGCAGTTGTCACACATTATAGGACCAGTGGACGGGTATAGCAGTTGCCACACATTATAGGACCAGTGGACGGGTATAGCAGTTGTCACACATTATAGGACCAGTGGACGGGTATAGCAGTTGTCGCACATTATAGGACCAGTGGACGAGTATAGCAGTTGTCACACATTATAGGACCAGTGGACGGGTATAGCAGTTGCCACACATTATAGGACCAGTGGACGGGTATAGCAGCTGCCACATACTACATGACCAGTAGACGGGTATAGCAGTTGTCACATACTACAGGACCCGTGGACGGGTATAGCAGCTGCCACATACTACATGACCAGTAGACGGGTATAACAGTTGTCACATACTACAGGACCAGTGGACGGGTATAGCAGCTGCCACATACTACATGACCAGTAGACGGGTATAACAGTTGTCACATACTACAGGACCCGTGGACGGGTATAGCAGCTGCCACATACTACATGACCAGTAGACGGGTATAGCAGTTGTCACATACTACAGGACCAGTGGACGGGTATAGCAGTTGTCACATACTACAGGACCAGTGGACGGGTATAGCAGTTGTCACACATTACAGGACCAGTGGACGGGTATAGCAGTTGCCACACATTACAGGACCAGTGGACGGGTATAGCAGTTGTCACACATTACAGGACCAGTGGACGGGTATAGCAGTTGCCACACATTACAGGACCAGTGGACGGGTATAGCAGTTGCCACACATTACAGGACCAGTGGACGGGTATAGCAGTTGCCACACATTACAGGACCAGTGGACGGGTATAGCAGTTGTTACATACTACAGGACCTGTGGACAGGTATAGCAGCTGCCACATACCACAGGACGGGTATAGCTGTTGCCTCACCCGCCGCAAATGGCCGCCAGGTTGTTATTCCAAGGCCGACTCGCAATTTTCCGCTCCACTGCAAAACATGGTCTTTACAGGACATAACGCCGAGCGCCCGTCTTGCTCCCGCGCTGATAAAATAGCGCCTAATGGTCGTTTGCACTGTTAGAACGCGAAGATTTCCTTGCAAGGTGTTTCTCTTCACCGTTCATGATGTATACGCCACTTTTGGCCCACCGTGGGCACACGGGTTCAACATTTGTGCGAGTGTGTGTGTGTGTGTGGACTATCGTCAAACTTTTAAAAGGTCTTGATAATTAGACTTATTAGACACACATACCAAAAGAATAGGGGTGGTAGGAGAAGAAAATGTCAAAGTTTATGTACTGCCGAAGCGAGTACTTTTCAGTGAGGATCCACAAGGTCTTATCTGAGTACTCTTTATTTTCTTCTCCGAGGCTATGGGTCCCTACACTTGCACCAGAGGTGGTACCCCTATATATATATATATATATATATATATATATATATATATATATATATATATATATATATATATATATATATATATATATATATATATATTAAGATTAATAATTCTAACACGAATTTTCTCAATCTTTCGTACATTACGCTTCACTGTTGGAGGTAAATCAAAAATCACTTCTCCAAATTCATTTTATTTCTAGTCTGACGCGACACGGGCGCGTTTCGTAAAACTTATTACATTTTCAAAGACTTCACAAATACACAACTGATTAGAACGTATCTCTGATTTTATATCTACATTTGAGTGAGGTATATAGGCAAACCCAGGTTTATATATATATATAGGTTTATATATATATAGGTTTATATATATATAAACCCAGTATATAGGCAAGACAACAACATCTCTTTCTAGGCGTTTAACGATGCATAAGCAACAGGGCTCCATTAAGGAACATATAATCTCTTCCCATAACCAAACCATCGCCAGAGAAATCCTAGTAAACAACACAGAAATCATCGATAGATACAGCGATAGCAGGCGGCTTGACGTTTGCGAGGCACTACACATCAAGAAGTCAACACCAGCAATCAACAGCCAATTATTGCACAACTATATTCTACCCACCTCAAGACTCCGCTCCAATATAGAAGCATCAAGAAATATGGACCAATAGGCTTTCTACAAACACTTCTATTCAATACCCATTGTTTCTGTTCTGTCTTGTGTTGATACTTTTAATACCCTATTAATATCCCCTCCTGTTCTGTCTTGTGTTAATGCCACATCACCCTTCCCACCTCACTCAAATGTAGATATAAAATCAGAGATACGTTCTAATCAGTTGTGTATTTGTGAAGTCTTTGAAAATGTAATAAGTTTTACGAAACGCGCCCGTGTCGCGTCAGACTAGAAATAAAAATGAATTTTGGAGAAGTGATTTTTGATTTACCTCCAACAGTGAAGCGTAATGTACGAAAGATTGAGAAAATTCGTGTTAGAATTATTAATCTTACTTTTTCGGTCATATTTAATAATATATGTCTACAGGAAAGACTGCTACCAAAATATACTAATATATATATATATATATATATATATATATATATATATATATATATATATATATATATATATATATATATATATATATATATATATATATATATATTCTGAAGTTGTTAGGATAATATAAAATTGTTAAAAGTAATAACTTGAAGCGTTCGATTGGCGTCACAATCTACATGCATATTAATAATATGGACATATAGCATTACTTGGTTATTTTCACTCTGTAACATATAATTGCTAGATTACTGTGCTGGCTATCTTAAAGTTAGACAACCCGGGTTACTGCTATATATCACTCCTCTAATAGAAGCAAGTGTACTCACCTATGGGGCCGTTCTCCTGGACCTCCCCGAACATGGTAGCGTTGGGGAAGACGGGAGAGTTGTCGTTGATATCCTTCACCACCACCATCACCACCGTCTCCGCCACGTGGACCCTCGACCCTGCCACCACCTGTACACTGCTGCCGTCCAGACGACGCCCCGTGGGCTCTGCCTTGCTGCTGCTGCTGCTGCTGCTCCCCGGGTCGTCACAGCCGCTGTCTGTACTGAAGCTGCCCAGCTCATAGTGCTGTTCTCCCGTCGACCTTCTCCCTCTGGAGGGCGCGGTGGTCGACTGAGGAACTACCGAAGCAGCTGGAGTCCTCTTTGTTATTCTGTTACCCAAACGTGCAGCTGGCTTAAACTTATGAGCTGAATTTTCAGCTTGTGTGAGTTTACTGTCGGCCTCAGGTTTTATTGTGGGTTCCAAACCATTAGCTGGTAATGCAGATGTTTGTATGCGAAGTAAATTGTTCTTTTTGTCTTTCCCTGACCTCACGATGTCTGGGGTTTCATTGCCGATAGGTACGAAATACAGCGTTTTGCTTGATTTAAATTCTGTCGTTTCTCTCGAAGTGTGGGATACCGAGTTGTGATACGAGAACTGAGAAGTGCTCTTTAAGCCACGTTTTTTGTGTTTATAGTCACTGATATTGGACTCCTGATAAAATTGTAAAGTCGTGAGAGTCTGTTCATTTGAGTGTAAATTTATGTCGGTGGAAATTGCGTGTGCTTGCCTGAGCTTAATTGCTGAACGTGGGCTTAGTGGTGTTCCAGTGGTGGAGCGGCTACTTGGATCCTTTACTTTGTCCATTGCAGCACCATTTTTTCTCCCTAACACCTCGTTATATGGGATTTTGACTTTACTTCCACTAGTGTATTCATTTTCTGTGTGTCTTATGTTAGTGAGATTGTCAGTTCCACCTGAATCAAACTTCATTTTCATGTGAGGATTGCCAGCGTCTCTGGTTGTTCCCAGCTGATGTCCGCCACTTGCTTGCTGCTCTGTTGACGCGAGCTTAGACCTCCTCCGTGACTTACTCCCAGCTGGTACTCGATACCGTCTTAAATATTGGGATTCGTTTGACAAATCTGTTCCACCGCGAACTTCTGCACCCGACGCTTGGCTAGCGACACCAGTCCCCGAGGATATCAACGTGTGTCCGGGAAGCTCCACTTCTTCTCTTATTTCTAGCGTCTCGTCAATAGACTTTTCCACTGCATAATTATTTTCTCTGTTGCTTTCTCTTACGCCAACAGGTCCTTCTATCGTATTTTCTCTCTTTGATCTTCTTTTATTTGATTTATCACCGTTGTTTCTTCGTCTTTCGTTTGACTTTGCTTTCTTGGCTTCGTTCTCGTTCTTAGATTTGGCAGCGAGAAGTTGGTCCATGGCCTGTCTGCTCCAGAGGGCCTGGCCATCCCGCACCTGCACCCTCACCCTCCACACCTCCTTTCCCCGGGGCGGGTCGCGATCCAAAGCCTGCAAGAGATACGTGTTGATGTGAGGTACTGGTAGTGTGACGTGTGGACCAATACCTGCATGATAACAGGTGTTGGTGTGAGGAAATATTAGGATGGCATGGGTAGAGGTATACACCATGCAGGAGGTATATATGGGTAGAGGTATACACCATGGAGGAGGTATACATGGGTAGAGGTATACACTTTTGTTGAACGTCATACTTCATTGCTGTCTAAGTTTATCATTCAATACTTCTAGACTCAAGATGTATTGTGACTCTGCACAGTAACAGTAACTCAAGATTCAAGTCACTTTAGCGTCAAGATTCTAGAGAGTCACAATACAAAGGACTCTGTATTGGCTATCGGTATATATGTATTATATCTATGGGCATATATACCTGTTTTTCTTGTTCAGACATTGCAGTATTGAAGACGACTTGTTCATATATAATCTGAGCTATCTGCTTCACTACTTCAGCAGCTGAACTACCTGGCTGAAAATTTAAGTGACCATTTTGTTTTCAAAAACTTTCCTGTGTGGGAAGTTGATGGAGAAGAACACTCTCCCTGGCTACTTACCCTCAACTGGATCAACTCTCCTGTGAGGAAAGTTGATGGAGAAGAACACTCTCCCTGGCTACTTACCCTCAACTGGATCAACTCTCCTGTGAGGAAAGTTGATGGAGAAGAACACTCTCCCTGGCTACTTACCCTCAACTAGATCAACTCTCCTGTGAGGAAAGTTGATGGAGAAGAACACTCTCCCCTGGCTACTTACCCTCAACTGGATCAACTCTCCTGTGAGGAAAGTTGATGGAGAAGAACACTCTCCCTAGCTACTTACCCTCAACTGGATCAACTCTCCTGTGAGGGAGTTGATGGAGAAGAAGGCGTCGTCGTGAGGGTGACCATCAACTCCGTCGCCTCTGACAGTATAGAGCAGTCCGTGATGATCCATCCAGTCCTTGTCCACCGCCTCCACCTGCACCCACCAACACTACTCTGTTAGTATCTCTAACACATGGGCCAGGGTCCCGCCCTTTCTACATGGGGCCAGGGTCCCGCCCTTTCTACATGGGGCCAGGGTCCCGCCCTTTCTACATGGGGCGAGGGTCCCGCCCTCTCTACATGGGGCGAGGGTCCCGCCCTCTCTACATGGGGCGAGGGTCCCGCCCTCTCTACCTGGGGCGAGGGTTCCCGCCCTCTCTACATGGGGCCAGGGTCCCGCCCTTTCTACATGGGGCCAGGGTCCCGCCCTTTCTACATGGGGCGAGGGTCCCGCCCTCTCTACATGGGGCGAGGGTCCCGCCCTCTCTACATGGGGCGAGGGTCCCGCCCTCTCTACATGGGGCGAGGGTCCCGCCCTCTCTACATGGGGCGAGGGTCCCGCCCTCTCTACCTGGGGCGAGGGTCCCGCCCTCTCTACCTGGGCGAGGGTCCCGCCCTCTCTACCTGGGCGAGGGTCCCGCCCTCTCTACATGGGCGAGGGTCCCGCCCTCTCTACATGGGGCGAGGGTCCCGCCCTCTCTACATGGGCGAGGGTGAACAATATGGTAATTAACGTTGCTGAAAAACTAAGTGGTAACTGTAATTTGACGGGTGGTGTGGTGGGGAGGAGTGTGGTGGGGAGGAGTGTAGTGGGGAGGAGTGTGGTGGGGAGGAGTGTAGTGGGGAGGAATGTGGTGGGGAGGAGTGTAGTGGGGAGGAATGTGTTCGGAAGGAATATGTTCGGAAGGAATGTGTTCGGGAGGAATGTGTCAGTGCGGAAGTCTGACAAAGTGCCGGACAATATACACAGAGACAAGCGATGCCAGACCAAGAAAGAGTAAACAAAACTGAACATAATGCCACTGTCACATACTACTAAACAAATGTTATCTCGAATATATTAAAACCTGAGATAACAGGATAACTGAACACATCCAAGATGAAATATATAATGCTGACAGATAATCTTCATGGAGTGCATTAATCATTCGTCTGTAAACAGGTCGCTCAGATGGTACAATTGTTGACATTTGCAGCTTCAAATTATTTACGCACGAAATTTTAGATAAAGCCATTTAAACTTCATTCATAACAAACCACAATAAAAATTTTTTTTTTGTTTAATCATGGTAAAAAAACACGATTTTTTTCAAATCATTTTTAAGAGTAAAATAGGAATAAGTTGATTTTCAATTTCGTGTTGGAGTTGGGAACCGAAGATTCGAAATTTGTTTCATGTGGACACTCAAAACTTCAGGACGTCGTCATGTAAAACTCCTGCCTACGCTGCCCCTTTAACCACCACCGCACTCAAGCAAGCACCAACACTTTAAGGACACTCCAGGAAGCACCAACACTCACCAGACACTCCAGGAAGCACCAACACCCACCAGACACTCCAGGAAGCACCAACACCCACCAGACACTCAAGCAAGCACCAACACTCACCAGACACTCAAGCAAGCACCAACACCCACCAGACACTCAAGCAAGCACCAACACCCACCAGACACTCAAGCAAGCACCAACACCCACCAGACACTCAAGCAAGCACCAACACTCTCCAGACACTCAAGTAAACACCAACACTCACCAGACACTCCAGGAAGCACCAACACCCACCTGACACACAAGCAAGCACCAACACTCTCCAGACACTCAAGTAAGCACCAACACCCTCCTGACACTCAAGCAAGCACCAACACCCTCCTGACACACAAGCAAGCACCAACACTCACCAGACATTCAAGCAAGCATCAACACCCTCCAGACATTCAAGCAAGCACCAACACTCACCAGACACTCCAGGAAGCACCAACACTCACCAGACACTCCAGGAAGCACCAACACCCACCTGACACTCCAGCAAGCACCAACACTTTAAGGACACTCAAGCAAGCACCAACACTCACCAGACACTCAAGCAAGCACCAACACCCACCTGACACTCCAGCAAGCACCAACACCTACACCTGGCAATGTAAAGTCCTGCAGTAGCACCTGGTCTTCAAGACTGACCTTAGCGATGGTCGCTGGGAGGTGGCGGTCGTCCTCCTCAACGACGGTGACCTGCGGCTGCGGGTTGAGGAAGTAGGGCGGGTTGTCGTTGACGTCAGCGACTCTCACCTGTACCATGGTGTGTACGGTGTGGCCGCCGGCGGCCTCCGCAGCCACCACCAGCTCGTGCTGCCGCACCGCCAGCAGGTCCACGCCGCACGGAGGAAGGGAGGGGAGATAAGCATGAAGAGCTGAACAACCAGGACCAGTCATGTCTACCAACCCGTCCTCACGAGCAATGGCCAAATGATCGTTAATCCAGACGCCAAACTCAGTGTTTTTGAATTAAAAATACTTTATACGCGACTCTAAACGACGATCCCAGCCCGTCCTCCAAACAAAGATCCAAAAGTGATTCCAAGCACCCGCCAAACCCCCTGTTTATGAATGAAAAGCGGTTTACACACGACTCACAACTGCTGACGTTCGAACATATCCGGAACAAGTGCTTCACTGATGAATTTTGTTCGAATCACATCGCTATAAATGCTTCACCCACGTACTACAAATACAAATAATCGCCAACAGAACCAAAACACCTAACCTAACCTATCCTATGCCTATATATACACAATATGCTAATATATTATAATATTAATTTATACTTGAGAAAATCCCCGTTTTAAATGAACAGCATGTTAAAATTTATGAATGCGTCTGTGGGGGTTGACCGCTGGATGTAATGGACTTGAGTCGAGGACGGGTTGCCTATCCCCATAAACAAAGACCAAAGTCCATTCCATGCACCCGCCAAACCCCCTGTTTATGAATGAAAAGCGGTTTACACATTACTCACAACCGATGACTTCCGAACACTTCCGGAACAATGACTGATAAAGATTAAGCCACCCAAAATGTGGCACGGACATGAATAGCCCGTAATCGGGAACAAGTGTTTCGCTGACGACTTTTGCTCGAACCACAACGCTGTAAAAGTCTTTCCCACGTACTACAAATACAAATAATCGCCAACAGAACCTAAACACCTAACCTAACCAATGCCTAAACATACACAATATGCTGATATATATATATATATATATATATATATATATATATATATATATATATATATATATATATATATATATATCAGCATATTGTTAATTATATTATTATAATAATAATTGTTGTAATTAACAATTATTACCATTCGTTCTGCTGGGTCATGAAGGAAGTGGGAGGGAGGGAGAGAAAGAGATGTTGAGAGGAGGCAGACACAGAAAAAACAGAGGAGGGGGTGAAGGGGCAGAGGGGGAGCGGTAATGTAGCCTCGGGGCCAAGGTTTATCCAACAATTTACGTCTTACGGAGCAAACAGTGTTGGTCAGGTTGAGCGGCCTTGCGGGTGTGTCGCCGCCCCGGGTCCTGTAATACCCGCCGGGTGTGTCGCCGCCCCCGGGTCCTGTAATACCCGCCGGGTGTGTCGTCGCCCCGGGTCCTGTAATACCTGCCGGGTGTGTCGTCGCCCCGGGTCCTGTAATACCCGCCGGGGGTGTCGCCGCCCCGGGTCCTGTAATACCCGCCGGGTGTGTCGCCGCCCCCGGGTCCTGTAATACCCGCCGGGTGTGTCGTCGCCCCGGGTCCTGTAATACCTGCCGGGTGTGTCGTCGCCCCGGGTCCTGTAATACCCGCCGGGGGTGTCGTCGCCCCGGGTCCTGTAATACCCGCCGGGGGTGTCGTCGCCCCGGGTCCTGTAATACCCGCCGGGGGTGTCGTCGCCCCGGGTCCTGTAATACCCGCCGGGGGTGTCGTCGCCGCGGGTCCTGTAATACCCGCCGGGGGTGTCGTCGCCCCGGGTCCTGTAATACCCGCCGGGTGTGTCGCCGCCCCGGGTCCTGTAATACCCGGCGGGGGTGTCGTCGCCCCGGGTCCTGTAATACCCGCCGGGTGTGTCGTTGCCCCGGGTCCTGTAATACCCGCCGGGGGTGTCGTCGCCGCGGGTCCTGTAATACCCGCCGGGGGTGTCGTCGCCCCGGGTCCTGTAATACCCGCCGGGTGTGTCGCCGCCCCGGGTCCTGTAATACCCGCCGGGTGTGTCGCCGCCCCGGGTCCTGTAATACCCGCCGGGGGTGTCGTCGCCGCGGGTCCTGTAATACCCGCCGGGGGTGTCGTCGCCCCGGGTCCTGTAATACCCGCCGGGTGTGTCGCCGCCCCGGGTCCTGTAATACCCGCCGGGGGTGTCGTCGCCCCGGGTCCTGTAATACCCGCCGGGTGTGTCGCCGCCCCGGGTCCTGTAATACCCGCCGGGGGTGTCGTCGCCCCGGGCCCTGTAATACCCGCCGGGGGTGTCGCCGCCCCGGGTCCTGTAATACCCGCCGGGGGTGTCGCCGCCCCGGGTCCTGTAATACCCGCCGGGGGTGTCGCCGCCCCGGGTCCTGTAATACCCGCCGGGGGTGTCGCCGAACCCGGGTCCTGTAATACCCGCCGGGTGTGTCGTCGCCCCGGGTCCTGTAATACCCGCCGGGTGTGTCGCCGCCCCGGGTCCTGTAATACCCGCCGGGGGTGTCGTCGCCCCGGGTCCTGTAATACCCGCCGGGTGTGTCGCCGCCCCGGGTTCTGTAATAACGCGTTGCGCCTCAACAATCGACCGTTCGTATCTTTTCCACTGATGTTGCTGCTTATCCTCGCCACTGCTCCACGGCCCCCCGTTACATATACACACACACACACACATATATATATATATATATATATATATACATATACATAACGTCCCAGGCTCGTGTATAACGCCCCAGGCTCGTGTATAACGCCCCAGGCTCGTGTATAACGCCCCAGGCTCGTGTATAACGCCCCAGGCTCGTGTATAACGCCCCAGGCTCGTGTATAACGCCCCAGGCTCGTGTATAACGCCCCAGGCTCGTGTATAACGCCCCAGGCTCGTGTATAACGCCCCAGGCTCGTGTATAACGCCCCAGGCTCGTGTATAACGCCCCAGGCTCGTGTATAAAGCCTCTGGCTGCTGCTTGACTAACTAAAGCGCTCACCTGCTTCTGATACAGTATAAATAAACCATTTTACGACATTTATATTTAATATATTTTCTTGTACTTCTCGGGTCAAGCCTCGACATATACTTCCCCTGAGAAAAATAATCAATACTCCTCCTGCCATGGTGTGGGAGCCGTCTCTGCCCGGGAGGAAGGGTAGACGTCTCTGCCCGGGAGGAAGGGTAGACGTCTCTGCCCGGGAGGAAGGGTAGATGTCTCTGCCCGGGAGGAAGGGTAGATGTCTCTGCCTGGGAGGAAGGGTAGACATCTCTGCCCGGGAGGAAGGGTAGATGTCTCTGCCTGGGAGGAAGGGTAGACGTCTTTGCCCGGGAGGAAGGGGAGACATCTCTGCCCGGGAGGAAGGGGGAGACGCCTCTGCCCGGGAGGAAGGGGGAGACGCCTCTGCCCGGGAGGAAGGGGGAGACGCCTCTGCCCGGGAGGAAGAGGAACAACATTATGGGAAGAGAAGGCTGAAGATGCCCCAAGGGACACCCTGCCTCGTCCTTCACTACGGCCGCTTCGTCTCCATCACACTTCAGCGGCATTTGATCTCGCGAAAATTTACAGACATTAAAAATTGTTCAAGAAACCATTTTCTAAGTTACTGAACAAAAAGTGCCGGACCAACAGGGTTGTCAAGCCTGGCACCAGGCCCAGCTTGGGGCCAGAACCCTCTCCTGCAGGTATACTCCAGGTATACTCCAGGTATACTCCAGGTATAAACTCGAGATTGATTTGGGAATTTAAAGTACTCAGAACCATACAATATTTGACTCGGTTCCCAGAACAACCGAACACTAAAGCCACAGTCAGACAAACGAACATAAATACAGTGTGACAGCGGCCACATCCTTGAAACTTGTGTGTTAAATTGGCAGTTCCCCCTACAGCTCTCCGGAGACATCCAGGTCACACCCAGCGAGAAGAAAAAGAGAGAGAGAGAGAACAAAAAGATATCGCAAAATAATCATCTTTGAAGACAAGCAAGAGTAAACACTGATGGGAACATTTCTTGCTTTCCTATTGAATGGGGAGAGTGATGTATGTATATATATATATATATATATATATATATATATATATATATATATATATATATATATATATATATATATATATATATATATATATATATATATATATATATGTGTGTGTGTATATCACGAAAATAAACACGTGATTAAGAATGTGACAATGTCAGACCACGGAGGAAAAATGAAACAGGAAATTTCCTTAAGTACTTTCGTATATTAAATACATCTTCAGAAGGTCCTTCTGAAGATGTATTTAATATACGAAAGTACTTAAGGAAATTTCCTGTTTCTTTTTTCCTCCGTGGTCTGACATTGTCATATATATATATATATATATATATATATATATATATATATATATATATATATATATATATATATATATATATATATATATATATATATATATATACATATACAGGTGGGTGGCAAAACAAAACAAAATCTCTCGTGGGGCCGGGGTGGAGAGAGAGCATTCAGGGAGGCAGCAACAAAAATACGTTCCCTGACAAAAGAATTCCTGCTCCTGCGCTAACGAGAATGGCTGGCCATCTTGGTGAAGGACTTCTCTGATGGTCCTGTGGAAACTTTTTCCGACGGCTCTGGATCAAGTTATATATCACAATTGCCATATATTTTTGTTTTTCTTCGACGAAAAAATGTTTCTCCGGTTAAACTGGTTCCTGGAAAAACCTGTTCCATGTAAAGGCATTTGTGTGTGTGTCACGCCCGCACGCGCTTGTTATTGTGCGTGCGTCGGCCACGTGGTCACGTCTGTCAGCCGTTACTTAAGGCTTTGGACCACATGCTCGTGACGCCACGAGACCGCGTGTGTATTTTGTGATTGTTAAACTCTACACAAAGAGCTTTCGGCGTCCTTCAGTTTAAGTAATTTTTATTACAAAGACTAGCTGTACCCGGCCACGCGTTGCTGTGACTCAGCAACGCGTGGTCGTTGCTGAGCCACAGCAACCCTCCTCTGTCCTCCCCGTCCTTCCCACCATTCCCCACTCCCCCCGCCCCCTCGTACTCCCCCCCCGCCATTCCCCACTCCCTGATCCCCTCGTCCTCCTCACCATCCCCAACTCCCTCGTCCTCCCCCACTATTTCCCTGTTCCCTCGTCCTCCCCTCCATCCCCCACTCCACGTCCCTTCGTTCTCCCCATCATTACCCACTCCCCCGTCCGATGCAATCTCAAATGGTCTGATGTTCTCATCAGAAAAAATGGGAATATCAAATGACCTGATGTTCCCATCACTGAAAAATAAGAAAAACAGTTAAAAAACAAAATTAAAATATAAAAATTAAACTTTACTCACGAAATGAACGGTATGGTAAACAACACAGTTCAGTTCCAACCCAATGTCACACAAAATAATTAAATCAAAATTAAAATAAATCAAAGTCTATGACAATTCAATTTAACAATGCAACCGGAAACATTTAAATGGAATCGTAACATATTTAGTGTAGCGTGTGTTGCTTTTATGTCCAACATATGGCGCTGATATTCAAAAAAGTTACGTAAGAACAAGTAATGTTCTTACCTGTCACAGGTGTGGCATGTATATAGAAGGTATATAAAAACAAGCCCATATTCGAATGGAAAGTTGTGCAAAAGTTTCAAAGCAATCGCTAAAGAAATTTCGGAGATTAGCGATTATGAACAAAACGAACATTTACATTTTTATTTACATAGATATACATTTCAATTAATTTATTTTCACTCTCAATTCTGACTGCGTATCTATGCATACACATAGAAGCGCATGCATAATAAATGTATAATAAATGCACGTATACATAAAGTTATATACTAAAATGTTGATCAAAACAAAGTATTTGACCGTGATATAGGTAAGAAAAATGAAATTCTATTTTAATCCAAAATTACCTCTCATGTATTACACTTTTAATTATAATAAAGAACTTGAAATAAATGCAGACAGTTTAAAGTAGCAATAATGATCTTGGTGAAAGTCGGAGACTTTAACCTTTGGTCATGAGCTGGTGACGAGTGATGTCGTCTCAGTATCTGTCAGTTTCAGTGTAGTGGGCGTGACAGTGTGGTGGGCGTGACAGTGTGGTGGGCGTGACAGTGTCTAGGGCGTGACAGTGTGGTGGGCGTGACAGTGTGGTGGGCGCCACAGTGTGGTGGGCGTGACAGTGTGGTGGGCGTGACAGTGTGGTGGGCGTGACAGTGTGGTGGGCGTGACAGTGTGGAGGGCGTGACAGTGTGGAGGGCGTGACAGTGTGGTGGGCGTGAGAGTGTGGTGGGCGCCACAGTGTGGTGGGCGTGACAGTGTGGTGGGCGTGACAGTGTGGTGGGCGTGACAGTGTGGTGGGCGTGACAGTGTGTTGGGCGTGACAACTCACCTTGTCGTGGGTCTCGTAGTCGAGTGCGGCGGCCAGAGTGATGACCCCAGAGTGCTGGTCGATGGTGAAGAGTCCATCCTTGTTACCGCCCGTGATGCTGTACCGCACGCCCGCACCTGCGGGAGGAGGAGGAGGCAGGTGGGTTACCGCAGGACATGATAACGACTTGATAACATGTTTGACGACCTGATAACGATCCACGGTGGCTCGAAACGTCGTCGTTTCTTCATTTTCTGATGCTTCATCGCCTGCATGCGAACGATCTGCGAGAGGGGATACATTCCCCTCCTCTCAATGTTCGCTGACGCGGCAAAATATATGAGAAGGATACATACGATGGAAGGCTTCATGATACCATAAGAGAACCTAGTCAAAATGAAAATATGGGCCCCTCAAGTGGGTACTGGAGTTCAATCCTAGCAAGTGCAAAGTAATGAAGCTGGGTACGGGGTAACCGGCGACCGGACACAAGGCATCAGATTGGGGGAAGGAAATCCTATTGGAATCGGACAGTGAAAAAGTCTCGAGGAATTATTATATTATCCCGAACCTCTCACTTGAAGCCCACATTCAAAGAATATCATCAGCAGCATTCGGAAGGTTGGCTGATGTAAGAACTGACTTTAGGAATCTGAACAAAGAGTGGTTCTGGAACTTGCATATCATTTATGTCGGACCAATTCTCAATAAGCTTCACCGGAGAGTCCTTGTCCTTGTCTCGTTAAACACAGAATGAACCTGAGAAAGTTATATGCCACCAGACTAGACCCTGAGGTAAGAGGTGTGAGCTACGAGAAAAGACAACAGGTGTTAAACTTCACGTCACTGGAAGTGAGAAGAAACAGTGAAGACATAATTACCACATACAAAATACACAAGGAAATAGACAGGGCAGACAGAGACAGACAATATAACAGAAATAATACCCGAACAAAAGGGAGACAGATGGAAACTATAAGTACCCAGATGAGCCACTGAGTTACTAGAATTTTGTTTCTGTTCAGAGTAGTGAACAACTGGAACGCATGGATCAATTTTCACCTTTGTACTCAAGTGAAACAAAAATAAAAATAAAGAATATATTCGTGCTAGAATCACTGATCTCACCCAAACATATTTTATTCACCTGGACAATAGGAGATTCGAACCCCACGAGCGGGAGACAGTAACTCAATCAATTGTACTACTAACATCTCTCTCTCTCTCTCTCTCTCTCTCTCTCCCCTGGTGGTGTTATATTTTATAATTTTTCTGCTGTAGAGTAGTACAGTTTCGCATTTTACTAATCAGTATATCTCCCTTTAAACCATTTCTCCTCTCACTTCTCATATTCCTCTCTCAACTCTCATATTCCTCTCTCACCTCTCATATTCCTCTCTCACCTCTCATATTCCTCTCTCTCCTCTCATATTCCTCTCTCACCTCTCATATTCCTCTCTCACCTCTCATATTCCTCTCTCACCTCTCATATTCCTCTCTCACCTCTCATATTCCTCTCTCACCTCTCATATTCCTCTCTCACCTCTCATATTCCTCTCTCACCTCTCATATTCCTCTCGACGTGCATGAATGGTCGAGCGTCAGTTCCCAAGCCCCGTCTTCCGAATATTTCTGTACTTCAACGTAATGATACGATTCTCTCGTTTTTTCTCCAGATTTTCACTTAAAGACGTTAAATAAATAAATAAGCTTTCGTCCCTGAAATGTTAATTCTGACATCAGTGACTCTTTTGTGTCTGACTTCCATCACTATTCGATTGTTCTGATCTTCCTCATTCCGAACATTACTTCTTCGTCTACATTTTCGTTTTTCTTTAGAATGTCGTTATCGTGTTTCTCTGTTTCTCCTATCCTCCAGTGTGTGGCCATATACAAGTACCCTCAGTGTTTCCTCGTAGATCAGACCCATCAACCCAGGAACGAATATATTTTTCTCACTGGTGCTTCTTCTTCTTCGTGTAGAGGCTTCATTCTGGGACCAAATTCTCAGAATTTGGTCTCCTGTTGTTTATAGTACTGGGAAGATACAGGTGTCTCCTGCTGTTTATAGTACTTGGAAGATACAGGTGTGTGCCCAAGTTTCTGAAGACTATCTGGAAGACGGCCAGTTTAGCCCATGCTGCTGATGTTATTCTCCTCATGTGAGAATATTATTTGGGTAATATACCCATATATAAAAATAAGTATACTTCTATGTACGCGTGTCTGTGTGTATACTTAAGATATATATGAGTACACATGTATTTCTGTATTCACGCTTTTCGCAACTGAGATAAATTTCGCGATTCAGTAAATATATTCAAAATATACAGCAAAGAAAAATATATAAAAATTTATATGTTCATTCAAAAAATAAAAATAAATAAAAAAATTGTGTGTAATCGTACAAGTATTAGTGAAACCCTTTATGGATGGCAGGAGATCCTATCCTACTTTACCTGAGCACTCCGTAAGTGTGGTTTATTTGGCTACCAGATGGGATATCAGGCGGTGCCCGGGTCCCGTGTTTTTTCCCGGTATGAAACACGTCTGGAACCTGTATGTAACAGGCTTGGAACCCATATGTAACGTCTGGAATACGTATGTGACACGTCTGGAACTCGAGTATGGAGTTATTAAACAAATGCTTGAAAATGTGACACCGAAAGAACTAACGTCAGAACGTTCCATGGTCAGAGTAATTTAATTGTCATTCAGAGTCTAAATATATATGGAATACATCTTTGGTTTTAATTGGATGGCCAGCAGTTAGCAGCTACGTCGTCAGTTAGTGCAGCTCTGTTGAACAGTATGAAGCAGTTTAGCGTACATCCAAATGTATAACCTCTGTCCAATACGCTTATTATTCAGAGCGCTAATGCATTATTCTGATCATAGAGGAATAGTACTCCCGTTGCATTTAATTTTAGGGAATAATTTTAGAACGTGGAAATACCATTTGATGAGGTACAGAGGTCGACTGACAGTTGTCGCGTAATATCTCTGGGTCCACTTAGCTACAAGATTGACAGTCATGAAGCCCCGTCTCTGGGTCCATAAAGCCACAAGATTGACAGTCATGAAGCCCCGTCTCTGGGTCCATAAAGCCACAAGATTGACAGTCATGAAGCCCCGTCTCTGTGTCCATAAAGCCACAAGATTGACAGTCATGAAGCCCCGTCTCTGGGTCCACTAAGCTACAAGATTGACAGTCATGAAGCCCCGTCTCTGTGTCCATAAAGCCACAAGATTGACAGTCATGAAGCCCCGTCTCTGTGTCCATAAAGCCACAAGATTGACAGTCATGAAGCCCCGTCTCTGGGTCCATAAAGCCACAAGATTGACAGTCATGAAGCCCCGTCTCTGGGTCCATAAAGCCACAAGATTGACAGTCATGAAGCCCCGTCTCTGTGTCCATAAAGCCACAAGATTGACAGTCATGGAGCCCCGTCTCTGGGTCCATAAAGCCACAAGATTGACAGTCATGAAGCCCCGTCTCTGGGTCCATAAAGCCACAAGATTGACAGTCATGAAGCCCCGTCTCTGTGTCCATAAAGCCACAAGATTGACAGTCGTGAAGTTCCGTCACTGGGCCCCCCAAGCCCCAAGATTCAGGACTTCGCAGGATATCATATCAGAGCTAAATGTCGAATGTATTGGAAATTCCGCACCATCATAGGAAGGCGTATATAGAGTGGATCGCTTCAAATACCTGAAATATATGTTCAATTTCCACACAGGTTACAAGTCTTGCATGATCCATGCACGTTGTTGGTCCTGAAGGACTCTTGTGATTTTTAAGAATCCGTCACAACCAAGATTTCTTACCGATAAGATTTGGGTAACAAAATTGAGTACAGTACAAGGTCCTGTGAATTACATTCATTATTATTAAATGGAATTATTAGCAATACTTTAAAAAAACTATTTTTTAGATTTTGGAGAGTAAACAAATGCAGAACGTTTTGAAAAATCGCAGTATTTGATATTTATTTAAAAAATCAAAACATTTTTATTTTGAAGTAAGATGCAGGCAAAAATAACAAGGAAAATGTGTTGCTTCGACAACTTGGAGCAGTAAAGATAGATCGTTGGAGAGAAGATATCTAGCTGGTATAGATATCTGTACGGTTGTGGTGGTGTCAGCTGTGGTACTGGTGTACGGTTGTGGTGGTGTCAGCTGTGGTACTGGTGTACGGTTGTGGTGGTGTCAGCTGTGGTACAGGTGTACGGTTGTGGTGGTGTCAGCTGTGGTACTGGTGTACGGTTGTGGTGGTGTCAGCTGTGGTACTGGTGTACGGTTGTGGTGGTGTCAGCTGTGGTACTGGTGTACGGTTGTGGTGGTGTCAGCTGTGGTACTGGTGTACGGTTGTGGTGGTGTCAGCTGTGGTACTGGTGTACGGTTGTGGTGGTGTC